CTGCTGCTGCTGCTGCTGCTGCTGCGGCAGGGGGAAGCAAAGGGAGAGAGGCAACCCAGACGTAAGCCCCATCCTGTTGGTGCTGCTGTATGTACACCGAGTGCATAAGCTCACGCCTGATACGCGACGGGAAGCAGCAGCAGCAGTTTGCTGCTGCTGCTGCTCGCCGCCAATCGCTAGACATTTTGTGCCGCTCACACCCTGCTGCCACTAACGGTCTCAGGGCAGCTAGCTAGCTAGCTAGCTAGCTAGCTGAGAGCTGCGCACAAAACTGGATGAGCATAACTCCTAACCCTCGCGGCTTGCTGGCTCGGGGACTTTCCCCGTAGCTTTAAAGCTGCTGCTGCTGCTGCTGCTGCAGCAGCAGCTGCTGCTCCGTCCGTGCGCTACGAAACACTCCGCCGGGTGCCTCGCGGTGTATGTACACCTGAAAACAGACGTGCCACGCAGCAACAACCCACATGTACACAGCAACCCCACACCAGCAGCTACTGCAGCAGCAGCTACTGCAGCAGCAGTAACTGCAGCAGCAAATGAAATTGAACTGTTGCTGTTGCCCGCACAAATTGACTTAGACGCTACGCAGCAAAACGCCCCGCCACCCGTGGGGCCCCCATTGCTTTGCGGTGTCTTTTGAACTCGCCAAATTGCTGCTGATAATCAGGCAAGCCTTCGATACACCGAACCACTGCAGCAGCAGCAGCAGCAAGTGCTGCTGCAGCAGCATCGGCAAACATGTGCAGCAAAATGCAGAACTAGGCAGGTCAGATAAGACGTGGGAAAAAGATCATCAGGAAGCAGATGATTGACAGATGAGAAATCATCACCTCGCCGTCGCAAAGCCCCAAAAATAATGTCAAAACAATTAAATAATTATAATAAGTGAAAGAAATCAATTAAATAAATAAAATGAATAACTAAATAATCGAAAACGCACGCACCATCTAAACAGAAGAGGCGCTCAGTACTTCTTAGAGGAAATAAAAATTCAACATCTTGAATTCAGAACAAGTGTATCATCCGGTGCTGCGCCGCTACCACAAAAATGAACGAAGTGGGGAGATAAAATGAACTAAAGTGAAATGAAAAGGAAATCCAAAATAAAACAATAAAAAGAATTGTCTCTAATTCAAAATAATTAGAAAAAACGAACAAAATAGGCTCAGGGTTAAAAAGCTCGAGTTTGTTTGCTCCCCAGCATCTGGGTGTCGGGGTTGGATTCCTAAATGCATCACCGCGATCTCGAATTAATTGCGAACAAAAGTCAGAAATAAAAAGTTTTGAAAACAGAAAACAAAAAGAGCTTAGAATTAAAACCCTTTCTTCAGAAGGAAGGCAGCATTGATGGGTGCATCATCAGTGAGCAGCACTGCGGCCGCAGCCACGCCATCGTTCTCATCCGCCGGGCTCTGGCGATGAACATGAACAAAACCCCCATTCCGCTGCATGCAGCCGCAATTTAATGCAATTAAATGGATTTAAATGTTGAAGATAATTCACAAAAGCCATTTAACGGGGAAAAGAGGAAAAGAAACCACAGAAAAAGACCCGAAATCACTCGAAATGCAAAATGGTGTGGGGCATCTGCAGCGCCCAGATTCAGCAGCAAACGCCAAGTAAAAGACATCAACTTGCCTCTTTCAATTTTCCCTTTTCTTCATTTTTGAGAAAGCGGGAAGATCCATTTGAAGATGCGAAACGAAAAAATGAAACTGCTGCTGCTGCTGCTGCTCCTGCTGCTGCAGCAGCTGCTGCTGCGCCCAATCCCGCGCCGCAGAGCAGCACTCCTAGCCAGCAGCCAAAAGAGCCCACAAAAGAATTAAAGTTCTTTATTTATTTCTTATTTGGGATTTGTTGTTTTTCTGCCAGCGAGTGGCAGAAAACAACAAATGCGAGAAGCCAGCAGCAGCAGCAGCTGCTGCTGCTGCTGTGCTGCTGCACTGCTGCGGCGGGGAAGCGCGCAGAGCTGGGGCTGCAGCTGCGCGCCTTTCTGCATGCACACACTCCTTTTCACCGAGAGGTGTCTCTAGTTTGTTCTATTTTTAACTTTAATAATTAATTAAATATATTCAAGTGCATTTCTGCACAGATTTAGACAGATAGAGCCCTCAGGGGGGCCCCTACCTGCAGAGCCTGGGGCCCAGGTGTCTGTGCATGTGTGCACTCCTCTGCGCTCCACGCGCTGCAATCAAAAGAATAAACACTCAGCAGCAACAAATATAATTTGAAAACGAAAAATAAGAGAAAGATAATAATTTGAGGAAATAGTTTAAGATCTTGCGGGCCAAAGCCGTAGACAGCGGGAGTTTCGATGCCGGCAGCAGCAAATGGCGAGGCTGCAGCACTGCTGCAGCACAAAGCTGAGCAGCAGCAGCTGCACTTTCGCCTTTTTTCCATTTTGCTGCTTCCTGCTGCACTAGAGGGGCTCAGAAAGCTGCCAAAAGAGCCTCGAGATTAGTTTGAGTTTGCTGCAGCTTATCCACAAGAGGGGCTGCTGCGGGTAAAGCGAAAAGCCCATAGTTAAGATAAGATATAACTAGTGGTCCAGTGGTCCATTGGTCCACTGGTCCAGTGCAGCTTGCAAGTAGCTGCTGCGCCGGCCTTGAGAGTTTGTAGCCTCACTTTGCTGCAGGCCTTTTTGGCCTTTTTGCCTCCTGGTCTTGTGGGTGTTTGGTAGTGAGTTTAAACGCCTAGGGTTTACTCATTAGGGTTTAGGGTTTTGGGTTTAGGGGTTTAAGCCTTAGGGTTTAGGGTTTAGAACCTAGGGTTTAGGAGGCTCTAGGGTTTGGGATTCGCTCTGGTAGCACTGCTGGGTGATTGGCTAGACAGCCTTGGACTAGAGCGCTCACGCGTTGCTGCTGCTGCTGCTGCTTCTGCTGCAACAGCAGCAGCAGAAGCAGCAGCAGCAGGTGGTAGAGCACTGTGGGAGCGAGCTGTTAGGGCCACAACAGCAGTTGTGCCTCTCGTTGCTAAAAAGCCAAATGGAGATAAAGCTTACTATTAATTAATCATTATTGATTTTAAAATTAATTTTATCTTAATTTTATTGATTCATTTTTTGTTTTTTGTTTATATTTATATCAGCACCCCAGAGGTTGTGCTGTCTGTACACCGGAGAACTCTATACACCTCTTATATTTTTCAGTTTCTCAACTTTTCATTTTTCTTCTTCTGTAGATATACTTTGCATTTCTTTAAATAATTTGCATGCAAATGCATGCAATTGCATGCAAATGGACTTATTTAAATATACTTTACTCCGAAGTTCTGTATATACACTCCATTTGTTTCTTTCTTTTGCTGCCATGGCATTCATTTTTGCTGCCAACTCCGGGCCGTTGTGCATGCATAAACATATATACTTATATATTTAAATATATAATTTGAATATATTTTTAAATATATATTTTAATATCTGTTTAAAAATATATTTAAATATGTATTTAAATTCATTTGTATACATCATCTGCCAACTGAGGAAATGAGGCGTGTACGTACACCCCACCACATACACATCTAGAAGTTCAACTTTCTGTACTTGTGCACAAATAGGAAAAATACACTCTGAAGATAAATATGAATAAATAATTACAAAATAAATAAATAAATAAGTAAATAAACGAATAATAATCAGTGTAAATACATTTATATGTGTACTTACTCGGTACAGCACAACGAGAGAAACTTGAACGATTTCGCTGCTTCCGGTGTCTGTACTGTCCAATAAGTGGTATTTATGAGCCTACCTATTTATGTTTTGTATCTTTTAAATATTCATTTACTTGTTTATTAATAAATAAATATTTAAAAGATATAAAATATAAATAGGTATGTATGGAAAGATGTTTTGCGTCTCCAAGGACGCATTTGTATATGGACAAAGATAAAATATATATTTATTAATTTGTAGATAATGCATCTGTTGGAGTGGTGGTTACAACTGAGGGTTTAGGGTTTAGGGTTTAGGGTTTAGGGTTTAGGGTTTGGAGTCTAGGGCTCAGGGTTTAGGGTTAAGAGCTGGCTGGGCGCTGAGGTGTATGTACAGCTGAAGTCACGGGGAAGACTTTTATAGAAAAGTAATTTGCTGTTCTTCACCAAAAAAAAAGAAACAAGACAACAGTCTTGCATGTCTCGAAAGCTGCTGCGCTGTTTTGCTGCTGCTGCTACAGCAGCAGCAGCAGCAGCAAGCTGCCGCTGCTGCAGGTGCAAACCTGCACTCAAGGTCTTCTGCAGCAGTACGTACACCTGAAAGATTTATCTATTGATGCATTCGTGCTTCTGTTGCTGCAGCAGCAGCAGATGCATGCGTTGCCGTCAGCAGCAGCAAGAGCAGTAGGTGCTGCTGCGATGGCAACGGGGAGCAGCAGCTGCAGCACTAGCTGCAGAAGCGATGTAACAAAGCAGCAGCAGCAGCAGTTCTCCGTGAATCGGTTGTTGTTGCTGCTGCTGCTGCTGTTGTTGCTGCTCCAGCTGCAGCAGCTGTGTCTGCTGCAGCAAGGTCGCTTGCTCGGCAACCACTACACAGACAATAACAAACCCTCTCGGCAGCACGAACAGCAGCCGCACCTGCTGCTGCTGCTGCTGCTGCTGCTGCTACGTGGCTGGGAGGGGTTTAAGAAAAGCTGTGAGACAAGTTGTGTCATCTTCGCTGCCCAGCTTTTTGGCCCTGCGCAGCAGCTTGTAGCTCAAGAGAGATAAGGCGGAAGCAGAAGGAACAAGCAGCGAGGGGGGCACATCAGCAGCAGCAGCAGCAGCAGCAGCAGGCGGCACGCCTGCAGCAGCAAGCCCTGCTGCACACACTCTGCCGCTGCCGTTGCTGCTGCTGCTGCAGCTGGGTATGGCGCTCGCGTGCTGCTGCGTCGCGGGCGTTCCCGGCGCGCCGCGGGCCCCCGTTCGCCGCTGCTGCTGCTGCTGCTGCTCCTGCAGCCGCTGCTGCTGCTGGTGGTGCAGCAGCGCGGCGTTGCGGAGGGGCCCCCAAACCGCAGGGACCTGCAGCAAGCAGCAAGCCAACTCGTGGGGCCCCACAGAGTCCCACAGCCCGTCGGAAGCCAGCAGCAGCAGGCCGGGGCAGCAAATGGGCAAGTAGGCCACCTCGGGGTGTACAGACACCGCACCTGCTGGCAGCAAATCCTTCACGTCGAAATCCCCAAAAGATCTCGAGGGTTCCAAAACTCCCCCGAGCCTCCCCCCCTCAACTGCTGCTGCGAGCTGCTGCAGCCGCTGCTGCTCCCACGCAGCGCTGGCCCGCAGGTCCCTGCTCAGCCACTGGAAGCTCAGCGCCAGCCCGCTCCCCCAGCCGCTGCTGCTGCTGCTGCTGCTGCGCTGCTGCTGCTGCGCGCGCGGGCTTGCCGCCGAGCTCGGGCCCGCGCTGCAGCGCGGGCCGCTGCAGCGCGGCGGGAAGCTCGGGCTGCTGCTGCTGCTGCTCGCGACCCCCCCCATGCCGCTGCTGCTGCTGCTGCCCGGGACAAGGGTACTGCTCAGCGCGCCGGCTGCAACGGAGCCGCTGCTGCTGCTGCTGCTGTTGCAGGCAGCATTTGTAGCAGGGCCAGGTGATGCAGGCGCATGCAACGGCACCTCGCAAAGGCTGTTGCTGCTGTTGCTGTTGCTGCTGTTGTTGGCAGGTGAGAAGGAGCCGCTGCGACTGCTGCACTCCGCGCAGCCGCTGCGGCAGCCGCTGCGGCTGCCGCTGCAGCAGCCGATGATGCTGCTGCTGCTACTGCTGCGCCGCAGCGCTGCTCGCTGCTTCAAAGTCTGCGGAATAGAAGAGACAAGACATTGAGAGCGACAAGAAGAGTCGAGCTCGAGCAGGAGCTGCTCACACGGCTGCTGCTCCCACGTTACTGCTGCTGCTGCTGCTGCTGCTGCTGCTGCTGTTTCTGTTTCCGTTGCTACATCTGGAGATGCTGCAGCAGGGCTCTTGTCCCCTGAACGCCTCAGAGCAGCACGCAGATAAAGGGAAGAGGTGCAGACAGCCCTCGTGACCTCTTTCTGTCCCTGGCGATTGCTGCTGCTGTTGCTGCTGCTGCTGCTATTGCTGCTACTTAGAGTGTTGGGGTTGCATCCAGGTACAGAAACAGTTCCTGCCTGCCTTGTGCTGTTGCTGCTGCTCTCGTGAATGCGCTGCAACATTTGCTGCTCACCGTTCTCGCTCGGCTCGTTCCCTCGCTGCTGCAGCTGCTGCTGCAGCTGCTGCTGCAGCTGCTGCTGCTGCTGCTGCTGCTGCTGCCCCTCAGCAGCAACTTTGAGAGTCACAAAGACGCAGCGGCAGTCCCCCAAGTTGAACACAAAGAGATGAGGGCCCTGCAGCAAGGCGCTGATGGCGCAGCAGCCGCTGGTGCAGGGCAAGTTGGTCCGCTGCTCTATTACCTTGCACCGCTGCCTGTTGGCAAACAGCAGCAGCAGCAGCAGCAGCAGCAGCTGAACGGGTGCGAAGGGTAGTGGTTGCAGGTGCTGCAGCGGAAGGGAATATTTGAGTGGGCGCGGCGCAGTACCGCCGCTTGCTGCTGCGGCGGCAGCAGCACCAGCGGCAGCAGCAGCAGCGGCAGCAGCGGCGCAGCAGCAGCAGCACGGGGAAGCAGCAGCAGCGACGCCCGTTTACCTGAACAGGTCGTCTAGAGCAGCAAAGGCAGCAACAGCAGCAGCAGCAACTTCGTGCTGCTGCCCCGCTGCTATGTGTCGAGGCAAACGGGAAGCTGCCAGCAGCGGCAAAGCTTGAGCAGCAAATTCAGCAGCAACTTCAGAGTCATGGCCGTCGAAGACGCTTAAGAGAAAGCTGCGGGGCGAGCACCGCACTGGCCGCTGCTGCTGCTGCTGCTGCTGCTGTTGCTGCTGCTGCTGTTGCTGCTGCTGCTGTTGCTCCTTTGGTGGCTGCTGCTGGTCCTGCTGCTCTTCTGGCTGCCACTGCTGTTGCTGTCCCTCTGCCTGCTGCTGCTGCTGTAGTTGCTGCTGCAGTTGCTGCTGCAGTTGCTGCTGCTGTTGCTGCTGCCGTTGTGGCTGCTGCTGCTCGTCTGGCTGAGGCTGCTGCCCTGCTGCGCCTGCCCCTGCTGCTGAAGACCCCTTTGGCAAGCTTTGCTGCTGCAAGTCACCATCAGCTGCTTCTAAAGCTGCAGCATCTCCAGCAGCAGGGGCAGCAGCAGCAGAAGCAGCAGCAGCAGCAGCTGGGGCAACGGAAAGCCCACTGCCACAAGTACAAGACACAGAAATGCCCCATCCCTCACACGGCGCAGCAGCATACGAAAGTCTCCGCAGCTGCTGCTGCTGCTGCTGCAGGTCCTTTTGCTCTCCTTCGACAAGAGCTGCTAGTGCCTTTCCAATGGGCATGGGATCCTGTTCTGCTGCTGCTGCCGCTGCTGCTGCTGCAGCTGGTGCTGCTGCTGCTGCTCTAGCTCCTGGTGCTGCCGCCACTTTGACGGAGTCTCCGGACCGTGGTGGTGCAGCAAAAGTGCTAGAATTACATGGAAGCTCCTGCTGCTGTTGCTCCTGCTGCTGTTGCTCCTGCTGCTGTTGCTGCTGCTGCTTTTGCTGCTGCTGCTGTTGCTGCTGCTGCTGTTGCTCCTGCTGCTGCTCAACAGGGTCCAAGGCAAAATATGCTGCATTAGCTCCGGGGCGGCGGAGACACATTTTGGGAGGACCAGCAGAGCCACCCTCATCAGCAGCAGCAGCAAATGTTGCTGCTGCTGTTGCTGCTGCTTGTGCTGCTGCTGTCGGTTCGGCGTTTCCTACTGCAGCACGAGCAGCAGAAAGCGGCTGCAGCGAGAAGCCGTGCTTGGCAGCAGCAGCAGCAGCAGCAGCAGGATCTCGTTCGCTGCAAGTCCAGTGAGGGGAAGAAAGACAAGACGCAGGCTCTGAAGGTACAGAGAGTGGAGAGCTGCTGTCGCTGACACACCAGTCGCGCTGCAGCAGCAGCCGCTGCTGCTGCTGCTGCTCTTGCTGCTGCTGCTCCAGTTGCTGCTGCTGGCTCATCTTTGCCGGCGGCAGCAACGGTGAAAGCTCTAAAGACACCATCCTGCTGGTGCTGGTGCTGCTGTTGCTGCTGCTGTTGCTGCTGCTGCTGTTGCTGCTGCTGCTGCTGCTGCTGCTCGGCTGTGCCCATGGCGTGAATGAAGGGGACGGCGTCAGTGTGTCGCCTTTAGGGGTGCCTTTTCTATGTAAGTTGGGGCTGCTGCAAGAGAAGCCGCGGTTGCTGCTGCTCGTGCTGCTGCTGCTGCTGCTGTTGGTGCTGCTGCTGCTGCTTACTGCTGGCCAGCAAGCAATCGACAGCCTGTCTTCGTTAAGATGAGCTGCCCCTCGTTTGCTGCTGCTGCCATGCACGACGATGACGCAGCTGCAGTTTGCTGCTGCTGTGGTATGGCTGAAATTTGCCTGCGCGCTGCTGCTGCTGTCAGGTGCTCCCTCTTTGCTGCTGCTGCTGCTGCTGCTCTCAGTGCAGCTGTTGCACTTGTTGCTGCATTCGCCGCAGCCTGCCTCTGGCTTCCCCCACAAATCTTGGGCGCCCATCCACCTCCCGTCTTGGGTTTGCTGCTGCTGCATTTCCAACTGCAGCAAACATTGAACTGACGCTGCCCCTGCTGCTGCAGCTGCTGGCGAAGGCTCGGGCAACAACACACCCAGCTGGAGGCAAGGAACAGCCCCTGGAAAGTCTCGCCTGAGTTTATGCTGCTGCTGCTGCAGGGCAGCTCACTGTGCTGGCGCCCCTGCAGCAAACCGTGTGCTGTTGTTGTTGCTGTTGGTGCGCCTCGTTAGGCTGACACCGGTGTTGCTGCTGCTGCTGCCTCTCCCGTTTTCCATATAAAGCCCTCAGCAGCACATTGAGTCATTTCTGCCTCACTCTGAGTCAAGAAATGCAGAAGTGGGTCAGTTAGGACACCCCAACACCAGAAGCAGAGGTGGCTGCACTCTTCACAGTGAGCAGCAGCAGTAGCAGCAGCAGCAGCAAAAGCAGCAGCGAAAAAGCCAACGAGCCTGAAATAATAAGTTTATATTGTGTAGTTCATGCGGAAATGGACTCCTGCCACGATTTTTGCTGCTGCGGCTTCTCTGCTGCTGCTGCTGCGGCTCCCCCGCCCCACCAGCCGGCGGGGGAACCAAAGAGCGCTTCCCCCCCGCGGT